GAAAAAATCTAATAAATTGTATAATTATTGTGTTTAAATATATTTCCTATTATTCGTATTTTTATTTAATTTATTTCAAAAGTTTTCGAAATTTCCTGATTTAGATCGATTATTATTTGTAAATTCGAAATAGTGCTATTTTTTTTATAAATATTTTGCTGTTTTGATTCATTTATATCTATTTCGATTTGTTTTAAATTATTTCGAAATATTTCGCAATATATAGCGTATTTTTATACTATGATTTCGTAATATTGCATAATATATTTTGTAATATTATATTATATATTGCATAGTATTGCGCAATTTTTTGCGCAATATTATGTCCAGACCATAATTATTGCGCAATATTTCAGGGATAATAACTTGCATAAGTTTGTATTAGTATATTTCGCTGATGTAATCTAAATATTATTCATATTAGTTTAGCTTTAAGTGCAATTTCATATAATTCCAATTTTAAAAAAATTGAAATTTTTCCTCAAAAGGGTAAAGCAATACTTAGAAATAACAATTGATGTATTATTCTTGAACCAGCTAACTATAATGCAATAAAAGAAGCAATTAGTAAAGTTGAATGGCCAAAATTTATTTGTTTAGATGGCAATAATGAGAACAATAATCCTACAGATCCTATGGGCTTTTATACTGAATATAAAGACTCTCAAAAGCATGAACTTTTAAAAAGTAACAAACTCAAAGTAGCAAATTTATACCATGAATTGCTTTTACTAGAAAGTGGACTTCCTGTAGTAGCTCCATTTTATGATCCCAATTCTGGTGTTCAAAAAATGGAATACTATAAAAATTTGATTGAATTTTTAAAACTTGTAATTTGACAAAATAATACATCTATTCCAGTGCAATTTGATTCAACATTAATTAAAGGAGCTCTTAAGCTAAATCTATTTAATGAACAAGAGATTGCACCATTATTAGAAGAAAATAATGATAATAATATACAAAATAAGATAATGTTATTAAGAAAAATACTTGGGTTATCAGCTAATCTTCATGTAGAACAATTTTTAAATAATAATACTGCTACACCATCTGAAATATCTAAGCAAAAAGTTTTAATATTTTCAACATTAATGACAACTTGTTATTAATCAATTAATAAAGTTGATATTAATTCATATCAATCAGAAATATCTAGACAAATATCTCTTAGATTTCTATATGAATTTAAACAAGCATATATAGGTAACAAATTTTGCTACTCGTCATAAGGGAGCAAAGTCTTTATCACAAGTTTGTGAACTTCTTACAGGAAAGACCTCAGTTCAACAACTTTTAAATATTAATTCAACAAAAACAGATTCTTTTAATATTTGATATGTTACTAATGAAAAAACAATAAAAAAAAAGAACTGTAGAACCTGATGAACTTATTATTAATATTCCTGGATTTTCTGGAACTGTTTCTATAAAAAAACTTCAAACATTTACGATAGCCAGCTCACATTTGATGCAATTATTTGAAGCATTAAACAATAATTGGATTACTCTTGATTTAGTTGATAATGTTACAATTACATGGATTGAAAACTTTCGCAAAGAAGAATGGATAGCATTTATTAAACAAATTATAATAGTAATAATATTTTAGTAATTATATAATAAACAAAGAATTTATATATATTTTTTACAAATTAGTTAAATAAATAACTTGATTAGTTTAAAGTATATTTCTATTCAACAATTTAATATTATCAAGTAAGTTATTAAATACTTTTAGTATTATATATTTTTTTAAATAATTAACATACTAATAAATTTTATATAAAAGATATTAATGAAGGCATAGTTTTATTTGAAAGGCTTATTAGAAAGTTTTAATATATATGATTTTTTAGAAGATTAGTTAAATATCTTAAAAATTAACAGTATTAAACAAAACAATTTGCAAATAAAAGAAATAAATACTTATATACATATATTTTTTACAATTTATAAAGCTTAGATTAATTATTAATAATTACTTTGTAATAATTTTTAATATAAATTTATATTACAAAAAATATTAAATAGATTAGTTTAATATTTAGCAATTTTAGAATTATATACTAATAGAAGTTTTTGTATAGTAAAATTGATTTTCTAATATGTAATACAATATATATTTGCTATAATAATTTTTGTTTTGAATTTAATATTAATAGTAAGTTTATTATTATGTATATATTATATATATTATAATCTTGCATTAATTTTGATTAATATTTTGATTAAACTATTTAAATATAATTAATTTAGCTTTTTTTATATCTTCGTTTTAATAATCTTTATCTAGAATGCCACCAAAAAAGTCAAGCTCTCGTAAGTAATGATTTTTATTTTATAATAGCTAATATTGGTCTAAAAAAATCTTTATTATAGAAAAAAAAGTAACAAAAAGTACAAAAGCTAATACTACGCAAGTAGTGCAAGTTGCTTCTAAAGCTGACAAAGAAAGTGAAATTCAAAACCCAAAAAGACAGCAAAAAACACGTCAAACAAAAAGTGTAAAAACTAATAACAAACCAATAGTGCAAAATATTTCTGAAGCCGAAGATGAATTTGAAGTTGAAAAACAAATAGTACAAGATGTTGCTAAAACAGAAGATGAAGTTGAAAAACCAAAAAAACAACAAAAAGCGTGTCAACAATAGTACAAGATGCTTCTAAAGCTGAAGACGAATTACCAAAATCAAAAAGGCATTGAATAACACAAACAAAAGATATTAAAAATAATAATAATTTATTAAAACAACAAAAGATATACTAAACAAAAAACTAATATTATATATATAATGCAAAATCAAATACTAAAAGCAAAAGAGAAACAAATAATATATTACTTAAAAAATAAAAGTAAATATATAATTTTTTTATTTTTATATTTATTAATAAGAAATTAATTATTATATATATAATTTTATAGCAAATTCGGAATTATTGCTATTAGATACTGAAGCATTATTATTAATTACAAAAGATAATATTGAATATCAGCAAAATCAATTGTCTTTTGAATTACAAGAACTACAAAATCAACAAACTTATGATAAAAGCAATTTAGCTTCGTCGACACATGTAGCTAATAAGTATCATATTAAATAAAAATATTAGATCTAATTCAAAAACTCAATTAGATGAATCTAATAATTATATTAAATATCAACTACATAATCATTCATCTTTTATAGAACCACAAAGACATAATCGTTTATCTTTTATAGAACCACAAGAGCATCATTATAAAGTATTACTAGGAACCAGGAACCTGTGTAAGTCCGAAGTTTTAAATTTTAAGAGAAAAGATACTTAATTTTGAAATTTTGATCAAAAATTCAAAATTAAGCATCTTTTCTCTTAAA